TTAAATACAAGATTTTTGGGGGTTTCATTTCCCCCCCCTTAAATTAATGAAAAAAAAATAATGGGGGAAAAAAAATTCCGTGGGGAAAAAATTTTTTTTGAAAAAAAGTAATTTTTAGGAGGGGATTAAGGGGGGGGTTCACCAAAGGGGGGGGGAGCCCCCGCTTAAAAGTCCTTCCGATTACGGTTTCAGCGGGAGGAGTTAAAGCACGATTAGAACACGGGGAAATTTGCCTTGAAAATTCAGGGGCGAACTTTCCTTGTTTAAAAAAAAACCCAGACCCCTTTCGGAAAAAATTTTTTTTTTTTTTTTTTTGGGAAAGGGGACCGGGGGGGGGGGGCGGGGTTGTTGGAGGTGGCCGCGTTTGCGTGCGTGGGGCACGGCGCGGGGGGGTCCCGATGCAGTGTTGCGGGTGTCCGAGAGGCAGCACGCCGTGATTTTTTTTCTTCATTTTTGTGGCTCGGGGCAAATACACTCTTTGTTTTGGCAGTAGCGGACTCCAGAGGCTTGCGGGCTTGAGGAGTAGGGTGTGGGAACGCCAGGCCGCATCTGAATGTTGTTTTGACCTCCGGTAAGGCGACCGTGCATCGTGTCAAATCTCTTGTTCTTGACTCCACTCTCACGGTACTGACGCTCCTGATGCGAAGCACATAACGAGAGGACTTGACGGCAGCAGGGTTGCGTTATGTGTGGCAGGCGTGTGTGGCAGCCATCCATCACAACGCCGCGGGTGTGACGTCAGAATGTTAGATCTGGCGTGTGTGACGTACATAGCCTTGTTGGATAGATCTGTTGTTGCGATTCCACCACGGTGCCCCTAAGTGCATCATACCCCCCCCTCCCCCCCCGACACACCATCAACGAAACCCCCCGGAAGGTTTTCGAGCAGGAGCAAGAGCTCACGAAGCTTCGCCGCGAGGTCTCCCGCTCCGACGGAAAGGGGTCGTCTCGCAGGGGCGTGGGAGAAGTAGCCGCGGCAGAGCGAGGCGGAGTTTCTTTCGCGGGGGTGTTCAGATGGTGGAGGCATGATCGGAGTCGGGCCGCTGCCGACGGTGCGGGGGCGAGGGGAGCCGTGGCGGGGGCCGTTACCGTCGTCTGATGAGCGATGATACTGTACCGGAAGAAGAGCCGGGGGGGGGGGGGGGGGGTGTACTCATAGTCGTGCATGCCGTAGTCGTTAGACCATTGGTCTCGCATCCCTACAAAGCCGGGACGGAGCACGCCGGGTTCTCACCGGACCAGGCTCTCACATCACAGAGCGCGAAGTGCCGTGAGGTATTCGGCGAGTCGCATGAAAGGTGCGCTGCACCCTGCTAAGGGTGTTCAGCATCTTGTGCTTACTGCCTTGCGTACGGATGACAGCCGCGTATGACTAAATTTATTTTCTGGTGCTTTGACTTCCAGAGACAGTCATAAGCACTGTGTAACTGCCTCGGGGGTGCTTGACCAATTTAGCACAACGTGGTGCGATCATCCCCCTTGCGCGGAGTGAGGGTTCTCCACCCCGCACAACATGATCTACTCGACCACCATTCATTGCCGGGGGGGGGGGGGGGGGGGGGGGAAAACAAAAACGGTAACCTGGTTGCCCAGCTCACGAAATGATCAGCTTGTTTTACAACATCGCTGCCAAGCGACGAAAACCCCACCCCCATGGCAAACATCGGGGGGGGGGGGGGGGGTTTTCCAACGTCTTGGCCAGCCACCAAAAACCCAAACCCCA